ACCACATCTTCTCCAGCCTCCTCATTGTCTGACTCGAGTGCCAGCTGCACAGCCTCCTTGCTGTCGGAATCAGCTACTAACTGCACAGGCCGCTGACAGGCCACAACAATCTGGCTGTTTCCCTGGACATTACATAGGGGTAAAGTGTAAAGATTTGGGGGCTGGCAGATGATGTGGAATTTGAATTCTTTTGTCTTTATTGAACAGCAAGGAAAGATTTTGAAAAGGAGAGACTACAGGGAAGCTATTTTTTTAAAAAACAATCTCCACTCTTAAAACCAAAATCACAGGATTTCTGCTCTAGACAGTTGGATTTTTGGTGCAGATCCACATTTCAATAATAAAATACTGTATAAGAGTAATCCTCGACCCCTGCAGCTAGCAGGGCCATAAGAAGAACCCAGTTAGCTGTGCTTACAACTGTGTATAATGACACATTTTATTTTATTCCATTAAATGAGCCACTCTGAACACAGCATACTGCCCATTTCTATCAGCTATAAGTATGCTTGAGTTCATTCTATATCTATATAATAAAAGCACAGCTGCTCTTTGTTTGGATATCTACCGCTTCAGTTCTTTTTTTTTTTTGTAAAATGGATCTGTGAAAGACAAATAACAGCATTGTGTCCAGATTGTCAGAGGCATTGTTTTAAAGAGAAAAATACAACAAAATGTTAGCTAGATAAAAGATTTGCCCTTGACATGTGAAGATTTTCATATGTCAAAAATAATTCCCGTTCTTCACTGCGGTGGTGAATGGTTGAACCATTCTGTGAAGACAAGCCAGCTCTATGGTAACCTGAACATGGTGCCTAGAGCAAAAGATCTGTACATCACAGACATAGATGTCCATAATGTTTTTAGCTTTTCCCTTATCACAGCTTCTTTTAGATAAAAACAATTCAGCAAATAACTGGCTTTAATTTCTAAAGCAAAGCAAGCATCCCAACACAGCCAGGTTTTGCATGGGAAATGAAGAGTGATGATCACCATGGCATTAAGCAACATCTGGACCAGGGGTAAAATGCTCCCGGTTTGGACCGGATCGCCTGATCCAGTAGCAATGGAGGCGGGTGGTTCAGAGAACCGGTAGCAAAAATCCCTGCCACCCCGCCATGCCCAGCTGAGCTGCACAATCATCAGAGGCTTTTTTTTTTTTACTTTTAAAAGCATTTTTTCTACAACCTCTTCGGCCAAATAATGCTTTTAAATTTTTTTTTTTTTTTTTTTTTTTTTTTTTGGGGGCTCAGCTGGGATCGTCAAAGGCTTTTAAAAGAAAAAAAAACCCCTTTTTTCTTTTAAATGCCTCTGACGATCCAAGCTGAGTTGCCTGATGGGCAGAGCTTGGATCGTCAGAGGCATTTAAAAGAAAAAAAGGGTTTTTTTTTCCTTTTAAATGCCTCTGACGATCCAAGCTGAGTTGCCTGATCTGCAGGGGTTTTTTAAAAACTCAGCTTGGATCTCAACTTGTTGAGTTTTTAAAAACTCAACTCAGCTTGGATTGTCAGAGCCTTTTGAAAGCATTTTTTTACAACTTCTTCACTGAAGAGGTTGAAGAAAAAATGGTTTTAAAAGTAAAAAAAAAGAAAATTGGCTACGCCTACCCAGTCACATTACCCACCCCACCAAGCCACGCCCACAGAACTGGTAGTAACAAATTTTAGATTTCACCACTGATCTGGACCCATTCTGATAGCTAGAACCGAAAGCGTCTGCAGAACATAAGAAGTATTTTTGGCCTTTCTGTTTAAGATCAAGCAGCAGAATAAATTTCTTGACATTGCCTGAAACCTGATAGCAAAATAAGAGCTAGCTGCCAAATGGAAAGTTTCTATAGAGTGAAGCTGTAGTGTTCTGATCCAGTAATATCTCTTTGAAGAATCTGAAATTTCTAAATGCTTCTGGGAAGCAACATCCCCACTTCTTCTTTTTCTAGACCTTTAGAAATGCAATCTCTCTAGAATCAAAATAAGCAGAACTGCCTATATTGTTTTTAGATGCTTATTTAACTAGGAGACTAAGAATTGAAATACTTCACTTGCTCTTTTTAATTAATCACTTTAGGATGTTTCCTCTTTTTTTAAATAACTTACAAAATAGTTTTGAATAGGTCAGAAAAATGGACTGAAAAAACCAGAATGAATTTTAAGAGAGATATGTCTATATTTTTCGCTTATGAAATAAAAGGCCTAGATTTTGAAACATAACTAATAAGAAACTGAGTTAGCAGTTTCATGAAGCTGCAAAAAAGCAGAAGCAATTTTAAGTTGTATCAGAAAATATAAAACATAGAAAACATAAAACATAGAAAACAATTGTTCTACGTGGGTCAGTGGACCACAACTCCCAGCCAACACTGGCCTGGGAACCACACTGTAAGTAGGATAGAGAAAAAAATAGAACAGATTCAGGGTATCCACGAGGAATGTCATAGGACTATGTAGGGAACTGAAGAAATTGGGAGTGGTAAGACTCAACGAGAGAATACTCACAGAGGATATAATAACTTTTTTTCATATACAAAAGGAGGCCAAGTTTTTTTTATCTATTATTTCAATGTGTAGGATAAGGACTCCTGGTTTTCAGTTACAGAAAGGGAAATTCTTACTGAATTCTATAAAGTCCTCCTAGTGGAAAGAGTAGTTAAGTAAGGGAACTAGTAGTCACCCAACAGTGGTGGAATTCTCTTCAATGGATGTGTTTCTGGAGGGGCTGGTTAGCAATTGGTTGGAATGCTTTAATTTGAATTCTGTACTGGGTAGGTGAGGAGGAAATCAGATGGTCTAGAAAACAACTAGCAAACAGGAAAGCCCATGGTGGTGGAGCAATTAAAGGAACCATAAAGTTTGTGGCAGCTCTCTGACAACAATTGTGGAAAAAAACAGCATGACTCAGAACTGGAAAAGGTTGATCTATTTCCCACTTCCTAGAGAGGGAGATTTAAAGAAAACATATGATCATCTAGCTAATTTAGAGAAACAGCAAGAGAATATTAAAAATAACTCCACTTTTTGTAGACAACTTCAAAAGTTTTGATAGTCTTTATCATTCAGGTCTTTGGAAGTCTCTCAAAGCAGTGGATATGTCACAACATCTGACTTTTTTTCTTTTTTTAAAAAAAATAAGAAATACTTACAATGACCAGGAAGGCACAGTGAGACAGAATTTCCCTACTCTGTCACTACCCTTTCATGGTGCTTGGAGGTTGTTGGGACCTGGATGGGGGACAACAGAATTCGAATGAACTATGGCAAGATTGAATGGCTTTGGGCACATGGAACCTCGGGATCTGGGTTTTCGTCATTCTTGGTTCTGGATGATATTGAATTAGGGGTTCAGACCCAGTTTGTAACTTAGGGGTTCTCCTGGACTCATGTCTCCTGATCAAAGAGCAGGTGGTAGGTATAATTGAGAGAGTTTTGTACCAGTTGCAACTTTTCCTGGCTCATGACTCAGTTACTCAAGTCCTAGTCACCTCTCGACTGGACTATCGCAATGTGCTCTATATGGGGATATCCTTGAAATCCATTTGGAAGTTTCAACTGGTGCAAAGTGTGGCAGTGAGAGAGGAATTTGGGGCCCCTAATACGGCCCATATTACACCTCTGCTCCATGAACTTCACTGGCTACTGGTCTGCTTCTGAGTAGAGTTCAAGATTTTTGGTTATGACCTTTACATCCTTAATTACATAGGCCCAGACTACATAATGAACCATTTTGTTCCACTAGGACAAGCCTGTCCTACTTGTGCCAGCAGAGAGGCCCTTTTGGGATCTAGAAAAATAGCCTTCTCTGCCATAGTGCCTGCCCTTTAGAACAGGGGTCTTCAACTTTGGCAATTTTAAGACCTGTGGACTTCAACTCCCAGAATTCCTCAGCCACCTGAGGAATGGCTGAGGAATTCTGGGAGTTGAAGTCCACAGGTCTTAAAGTTGCCAAGGTTGGAGACCCCTGCTTTAGAATATCCTCCTCTCTGGTAAGATCTGCCCCCAATTGTTCTATCCTTCCACAGGAGCCTGAAGACCTGACTTTGCCAGTTGGCCTGGGGACTAAACAGGGAAGTTCCGCAGTGGAGGTGGCTGTTGGATTGATAGCAGACACCCTCCCCTCTCTTGCTCTCTGCTCTTCACCCAGCCATCTTTTTGTTATCATGTTGATGTATTCATGTTTTCATCTTCGTTGTTTATTTTATTATTCCATTATTTTACTTGTATTTTGTTTCCACTCTTTTCATTTCTTCCTTTTTATTGTTGTAAGTCCCCTAGAGTATCCCCATGGTGAGATAGGCAGCAAATACATTTAACAACTAAATGAACAAAAATAAATAATTTGATAACCCAGAATGGTTTACCACTGGAAAAGGACTGATTCTATTGCTATACTTGTTCAATTTCTATACTGAATATATCATATGGGCTTTGGGTCCAGAAGAGGAAAAATCAATGGAAACAATGTCAAAATTGAGATAGATAGACATCATACATTGGTTACAGAAACTGAGAATGACTTAAGACCAGTCATTTTAAAAGCAAAGACAAACAAAACCAGGAGAGTGAAAAGGCAGGCTTTCCTTGAATGTTAAGAAAACTAGTTATGTCAGGTGGAAAAGATGAGCAATTTAAGATGACCAAAGTGACAATAGAAGTAGTTGATAATTATGAGATTAAACAAGATGACCGATACTGGGGGAAGGTGAGGGGAAATCCTATAGCAGAAGGCAGTATTTGTGAGACAGAGCCCTCATGGACAACTTCCCAGAGAGGGTGTTGCCGTTTCTTTTGGACAGCTAGCTTGACGATGGGAGGTACTCTAGATTTAGGCAATTTAAAACTACCCAAGGACAAATCTAGCTGACCAGATTGCAGTTTAAAGGTCACACTGCTTTCCCCAAGGCTGCCAAAAGGTCACAATTCCTTCTGACATTAAACAGGATGCAAAAATTTTCTTCTGCCTCTAATGCAACCTCAGTAATAATTCAGCCTTTCAGAGAACGTTACCTTTTTATGGTTTCTTTGATTAGAGGCGTCGCCTTCCCATTCATTGTATGTGTCTCTAGATGTTTGTTTTCATATAGATTTGTCATCAGATTGCAGGTCTTGTCTCTCATCTCATGTGATAGAGAAGTTTCTCTGGCATCTGGCCTTATTCGCCGACATTTGAGCAACCTCTGATAAGCTGTCCGGAAGTCCCTATTCAGTGCAGCATACAAAATGGGGTTCAGAGCTGAGTTGACATAACCCAGCCATAAGACAACAGTCAGCAGTGGGTCACATACTGCACCCATCACACCTCGGTATGTGAACACAGTAAAATAGGGAAACCAGCATATTATGAAGGCTCCCATCACAGCTGCAAGGGTCACAGTGGCCTTGTGTTCTTTCACTGTGGGCAATATAGTTCTGTCGGTCTTGCAACAAGTGCTGTTGTTGATCCTCTTAGCTTGTTCCCTGGCTATTTTAAATATCCGGTAGTAGGTGATGCACATGATAATTAAGGGGAGGTAGAAAGTTAGCAAGCCATCCACCAGAACATATGTTGCATTGACCTCCAATTTGCACTCTTGCTTCCCGTTCAATTGATTCTGGTTCTGGATAGTTGTGTCATTGGTATTCCATCCCAAACTGATGGGTAAAAAAGAAACCATAAGGGACACTACCCAGATAAGAATCAAAGCTACAACGACTCGTAAAGGAGTGACCACAGTGGTGTAGCGGAGGGGTGCTGTAATAGCATAATAGCGATCCAGGCTAATGACGAAGAGATTGAGAATGGAAGCAGTGCATAGCATGACATCCAAGCTAATGTAGACATTGCAGAAAGTAATGTTCATGAGCCACTCATGGGAGGAGATCTCATAGAGGGCTGAGAAGGGTAAGACCAGTAGGCCTAGTAGCAGGTCTGTAAAGGCCAACGAGACAATGAAACAATTAGTTAGGCTGCGAAGCCGTCGACTGAGATAGACAGCCAAGCATACCATCACATTACCACACACAGTCACAACAATGAGAACTGTGAGAGCAGTTCCAATCAGCACCTTTTCCAAAAGGCGGAGAGAACCATCTGTAACGTTTGTGGAATTCATGCTGGCTTCACAAAGTAATATCACTTTTCCTCCATGCAGACTCCCGTGACAGCTGCCACACAGAAACTTAGGAAGAATCCCGTCCAACTATTTTCTTTCACCCATCTCACAATCGGTTCCCATGTTAACAACCAATGGGATAGTATCAGAAAGACAGCTGGTTCTGAATGATTGGCTAACAATCAGATGCCTTCTCCCATTATGTAGCTATGAGCACAGTGAAACAAATTGAATCCTGCTCATTTTTCCCCAGAGGAATCTTTGCTTGGTTCATAGTTACAAAAAAGACTGGAACATTCACTAACAATGTTCTTATAAATGCATGATGATTTTGAGAGAATAGTTGATCATTATTTATCAGTCCATGATGGCTAAATGAAATATCCACATTTAGCGGCAGTATACATCTGAGAACAAGCTACACAGAAAGGCGGCTGCTTTTACACATTGATTTGTAGATTTCCTGGAAGTATTTGTTTTGCTTCTGTTTAATCTGGCTGCAATAACAGCTCCTTTCTTTCTTCAGATTCCTTTGGTTTGGTTTGCAGCCACTTGTTTTTCATCACTCACAAAAGTTTCTTCTTTTCAGTGAGATTATTAATGCAGCATATGTTGCTTGATTTTTTTAGTAACCAAATATTGCTCCATAGATCACATCAAAGAAGGACTAGAAAAGTCTTGGATGTTTAATTCTTTTTAGCAATGTTTCTATTTAAAATTCCTCAAAGTAAGTGGAAGTAGTTGAAGATTAGAAGGACATATTTCATGCCTTTCCTTGATAGAATCTGGAAGGAAGAATTAAGAATTAAGTGATTTAAACAGAAGACATAAAAATGCCTTATAATAAGTAGCTACACGTGTACAGATGAGTAAATGTATATACTTATTCATTTACACATGTCTCCATATATATTTATGTACGTGCATATAATACCAAAACTATCTGCTGAGTCTGGCAAAATTCTTTCTCTTTCAGGCTATTAAGGAGAAACATATTTTCAGGTAGAGAAATTTAGGAACCTCAGATATTATTTTAATTAAGAATGCCAGAAATTGAACACATGCAAAGTGGGAGATCCTTCCTAAATGGCCTGAGGTATATTTTAGGAATTTATTTTAATGAACATCAGGGTAATTATTTACAGGGATTTCAATTATTTCCTTAAAAACCTCAAGCCACTTCAGAGTTACTATTATCATTACTACTACTACTACTACTACTACTACTACTACTACTACTACCACCACATAGACAAATTAATAATTTACCCAGGTATCACTGTATGGTTTGAGAGACACTACATCAGTGTCTCTCAAACATTACATTACATTATGTTACATTAACTAACAGTTAACTCATCATTGGAAAGAAACAGTAGAAGAGATGGGGGGAAAAAGAACTCATGGTTTTCATTATTAAGCATGTGAAAATATAAATGCTTTTTAAAAATCAGGATCAGAATCTGCAGGGCAGGTAGATACGAAAGAAAAAAGGATGGCAGATTTCACAGAATCAGTGCAAAAATTTTGTACGTCTGGTTTAATATTTTTGTTTTTCTCTAGTGTTGGAAGAAATATCCTTTTGGGTTCAGTTCCAGGTGGGGAGAAGGACACTGGAAACATGGTGGCCGATTGGAAAGATGGTTTTTATTGGCGGACAGGACCACATGGTTTGAGGTCCTGGGCAAAAAAGGCACATGGAGTGGAGAGAGGAATATATTTATACACTCTCTTGGGCCCTGCCTTAGAGTTTCCTGTTCCTGTACAAGAAATGTATCCCATTGGCTGTCAGAGCCCCAGGGGGCGGGGGTCTTAGCTAACTTTGTAGGCTGATGTGTCCCAGCTTGGTTGTGTCTTGCTGGGTGATGTAATCTTCCCAGGTGCCGTGTAGTGAGATGGGTAGAGGGCTAATCCTATCATGTCCTGAGGGCTATGTCTTAATCCCATCACTCTGGAGCTGAAGTGGAGGGAAGGGGGGGGGGCAGGGAGCTGCAGGAAGCTGCTTTGTCTCTCCTTTTCTCATCCAGGGAAATATATTATTCTGCCTCTTTAATATTTCTTAGAATATTCCATTCTTCTATGAGGGGGGCGGGTGCTAACTTCCTATACTAGTGTGGAATGAAATTTCCAGGAAGGCTAGATTATTGGAAACAGACGTAGGCTGCCAAATATATATAAAGCTACAATAGTTTCCCCCCCTAAATTCTATAGAAACCCATGTTTTTGAGTTATAGGCCTTTAAATTGGATGAAGTTCATATGAAAACTACATTGTTATGAAAAGTGTATATGACATTTCACAGAACTCATTGTTGGAGTTTCAAGCAACATGTTTTTAAAATCATACATTTACACATATATGCCTATTTTTTTTTTTTTTGCTTTTCCCCCCTGACTGAATATGCTGCAACGTGCAGTAAAAAATATCTTATTATGAAGAATATTCATAATTCAACATGAGGTTGTAAGGAATAATTCCTGATTATTGTGGAATTTGATGGCAAGGAGAAAAAATGATCTTGGTAAGTAGTTCCATTTTTTAAAAAAAGTCATGAAACCAACCACTTATCTAGAAAACTCACAAATGCAATTACTATAACAAGAGACAGAAGACGAAAACTCCATTTAGGCGTTCTTATTCCCGGAATAATAAATGCTCAAATAATCTTGTTCTCTGTAGGCATTGTATGTTCACTAGGGCTTTTAGCAGGGAAAAAGCCTACAATGAGCTGTATATACTGTATGTAGGATTCCACATGAGCCAAGAAACCAATAATGCATAATACAGTCTAGAAGCCATAGATTTTTTTACCCCTGTGTAGATAATCAAGCTGAATGTGTGAAGACTGCAGGGAGCCAATATCACAAGAACGCGATGGATGGAATTATCTGAAGTGCTCTTATTTTGAGCACTCCAGGTAGAATAATATCTGAATTGGCCTAATGAGATGAAGTAAACGTTAGAACTAAGGTTATCTTTCCCAAGATCTCCTTCTTCTCTTCCAAGGGATATTTGGGTTTGCCTGTAAGCCCATGTTAGCCAATGAATACCCGATTCCCTTCTCATCGCCCCTCTAGAATGGTTTACGTAAATTGGGTCAGTTTTTCTCCCTTTTTGTGGTGCAGCTGTCATGGTGCAATAACCTGCAGCATGTTAGGGTTCTGATGTCTGCCTTAAGACATAGGAATTCAGAGATAAATATGGGGAAAAAAGGAGAGGGGTGGGGGAAGGGAGAAACGACATATATATATCCGTGGCTCAAGCTGATAAAGGGATGAGAATTTGTGGCTCAGAGATTAATTCAACTGCCTAACATGCAGGAAGCCCAAGTTCAAATCCAAGTAAGGTTATGGCTAGCTGATGAGAGCTAAATAGCTTGAAATAGATCTATACTAGTCTCCCTTTATTTCTTTATCAGCAAAATATAAATTTGATGTGTGTATGTGTGTATACACACACACACACACACACATATACATTTCTACAAAGCTCAGTATGCAGTCTGTGCTGCATTTTTACACTGATGTATATTTTCCATCCCTGTGGATTGGTTGCTTTATCAGCATATTTGTTGATAAAATGTTATAGATTAGAGAACCTGAGGACATGTTATCGTTGTGTTGCTTGTTTTTGTCCCTTGGTTTGCTGACTAGCTGTAACCCTGGAGAGCATTTCTTACCCTTCAACAGTACTGTGCACAGCTTTGGTTCAAGGTTCAAGGTCTCCATTCCATCCCTATCTCCATATGTTCTTCCTTTTCCATTTCTACAAACCTCAGTATGCAATCTGTGTTGCCCTGTTACTACTACTATTGCTACTACATATGATCTATGTAAAAGCTTCCTTCCTTCCTTCCTTCCTTCCTTCCTTCCTTCCTTCCTTCCTTTCCTTCCTTCCTTCCTTCCTTCCTTCCTTCCTTCCTTCCTTCCTTCCTTCTAGATAATATTCATGTAGCTACTATATTAGTCCAAAATTAATGGTTAACCCCACTCCATATTTTAGAAGCCTTCAGAACTCCTCTGCAAACAATTAAATTGTTTCAGTGTCTACCAAAGCTAGAAACTGTTTTGACATGCATCGGTGAGGTTGCTATTAGTGATTGTTATAGTTAATATAAGACCTCAAAGCTAGTTTTTTTGTTTGATGGAGTGAGATTCCCCCCTCCCCACAGAATAATAAGGATCAATTGGCAGCTTCACATAAAGCAGGGTTTAAGATTGCTAAACCTTAAACCTAGTTTAAACAAATGATAATGGTATAACCCAAGCAAATAAGTCCTATTATGGTTTATATAAAGGCTAAGAATGCCTGGCTGGCTACAGTGTGCTATAAATTATCAAAATATTTTTTAGCTTAAACTAACCTGGGTTTCTGCCACTGTAATGGCAGCTTCCCTGAGATGTTTAAACAAAACAACAATGTCTTTGTTTAGCTCTTGAACAGGTAAGGTGAGGAGAAATCATGCAGCAAAAAGCAGGGTTGGTGGACAGCTTCCCAAATGGGGTGCTGTCAGTTCTTTGGTTCGCTTGTCTGGTGATGGGAGCTGCACAATCCATGCTTCGTCTCTCCTGCTTCTGAATTGTAGTAAAGTTTGGCTCCTGTTCCTTTGCCCTTCTAAATGGGCTGCTTGCCATGTAGTTAAAGTCAAGAAATAATAATAATAATAATAATAATAATAATAATAATAATAATAATAATAATAATCCCCTCCGAGGAGCTCTACCTTGTCGTGATGGAGGGGCTTGCGTGCTCTAGTGATCCTAAGGGCTATGCTGAACAGGTGCAACCATATCAGACAGACCTTAGGTGAAGGGCCAGACAAAATCTGCTCCACAACCCATTCAAACATGGTGAATACAGAAAAAATGAAATTTATGCCGGCTGAACCGTCGCCCGGATTAACAAGGGTTCCGTTGGATGCTATGGCTCCTGGGCATTCTACGCAAAATGAGTTACAGGGCTCAACTCCCTCTGCTAGGCAACCAGGGCATAGAGCTGACAAGCTACTGGAAGAAAAACCCAAAAAGCGAAAAATCTGGACCAGGGAAGAAAACACCTCTATTATGAAAGCTTACTATCAGTCTGAGCCAGCAAAACATGGATTTCAAAAAAGAATGTATCAGATTTGGAAGATGAACCATACGGACTGTGACACCAGTGAACAAAGGTTAATGGACCAATGACTTGTAATCCTAAACCACAAATTTTTCACTATAGAAGAATTAATAGCAATAGAAGAGAAAGCAATTAATGATCTGAGTACATCAACAAAGAAGAGTAACATCAAGAATGATTTCCAGACTCAAAAGCAAATGGAGGAAGAAAGGGAAGAAGAGGATACTGAAATGGATGAAGATGAAGAACAAGGAAGCACTAAAGAACAAACACCAACAGATAGTGCTCAATTAGCTGGAAAAATAAAGCACCAAATGGAAGATGCTGAAAGAACACGTTTGCCAAAGCTGAACCAAGTGAACCAGAAAGAATTGAAAAATGTACTAAAAAAGGTCAATGAGGCTATGCAAACTATTCGAACCACTACATTAGCCGAAACAAACCAACTGATGTATGCAGCAGCCGTCATAACCACCAAAGAACTGGGGTTGAAAATACAAAAGAACCAAAGAGGCAAGAAGGGGAAGCCTAAGTGGAAAATTCGGTTAGAATTGAAGATCAAAAAAGTACGTGGAGATTTTGAGCAACTTGAAGAACCTAAGGCAAGGTCAGCTAAAGAACAAGCAGATCAAAAGCAGCCTGGAAGCAAGATACGATCTGAGGAATAAGG